CTCTCTCTCTCTCTCTCTCTCTCTCTCTCTCTCTCTCTCTCTCTCTCTCTCTCTCTCTCTCTCTCTCTCTCTCTCGCTCTCACTCTCTTCTTCTTCTTCGTCGTGGTCTTCTTAATGCAGGTGCGCGGCGGCTTCTTCAACCGAAGGTCCGCTATGGCGGACTATCTCCTCCAGCGGCCACCTCTGCTATGGCGCCTCACCCTGCACACGACGGCGCGCATGGGACAGCGGGTACCTGCTCCAATACCAGTGCAATCAGACTTGACTTATTCACACTTTTCATGTATGTAAACAGCGGCACAACAACTGGCGACATGCGCCCACACAGTACTCAGAGATATGGCTTCCAGGTAACAGTTCACTTCCGCTGGCTATGGTGACTGAGCGCCCAAACAACTCACTGTTCACACATTGGATCACCCTGGATATCCCACACGCATCACCTAAGTCAAGCTTTCCATTCTTTATGAATAAAATACAAAGAATCAATCAAGAAGTATTGAATCAATACTTCTAAGTATGTTTCTCCATAAATTAGAAAAAATATTCATAATTTGTTCATCATTCAATACAGACCATGCAGCCTTATCGCTATGGCTACACTACGTCACTCTCGCCCACTTCGTCTTCGGGCCTCCTGCAGACCTCCTTGCACAAGACGCTAAGGCAGCGCTTCCACATGGTTTCCGCATGAATGAATGAATGGCTGGGCGCGGCCTCCTGATTTATACTTCTGTGATGCGTTGGTCTGCCGTGTACCCTTGGCCCATGGTGCACACAGTCCCAGACGGTACTTGCTTGACAGGACCGGACTGACTGGACTGGGAGTGTTGACTCAGTGTGGCGGACCTACACCACTTGCCCACTTGCCTCTGCCTAAACTGGGGCTGACTCCGAAAGGCCACCTCTAGAACCTTCTACTTGGCCTTTCGGTACTGTAGCAGCTAGGACTCTGCCCTTTCAGGTAAGTAGCAGCTACGACTTTGACCCTTCGGAAAGTCTACAGCTAAGACCTCTGGACTGTCTAGACTCCTACCCGACAGGTCTACAGTTCGAATCCCCTATACCCTGTAACCTACGGAGGCCTTCCTACCACTGGCGGTCCTACAGGTCGCAGGTTCAATTCTACGGGTTGACAMAGGTACTATACACAGGTAAGGTGGGTAACTAGGGATCGAGCCCTGGGATCTGCATCAGCTACTGCGAACTGGTGAATACCAATTCACTTGTCAGGAAGTGGCGAGAACAGGGCTAATTTGCCATAGCCAACCCTGAAGGTAGGATAGCGAACTGCCTCAAAGTGGCGAATTACCCCGGAGGACTTCAGGGATCTCCGAGCGGCTTCATCCCTGAGCAGCGCTGAGGGAGATTGACGGTCTGTATCAATCTCAGGAGACAATAACCTTATCTGAGGCTATTTATAGCATCACCGGTTGAAGGGACCTGTGGCAAGATAATTTCTTGTTGGCACTTTGGGTGCCACAGGGCCAGATTCAGGGAATCTGGCCGAAAGGGCTGCAGCGCTTCAGGATCCTGAAGAGGATCAACAAGTTTGAAGAAGTTTTGTGCGTGGAACAGAGAGGAGGAAGCTCTGGAAGAAACTAGCGAGATGAGGGTTCCAGTCTGCCATAGCCAGATCTTCACCCAGCTCTGCAACAAACTCTGAAAGTGAGTCCATTCCATGCACCTACCTGTATAGCGATTCAGATAGGGTTAGATTAGCGAGTATTCATGGTCTATCTGTCTGTCAGTGACTAGAATTGAAAATCACAGACTGCATGATAGCAATAACCATCTTTCTCCTACCTTCCTCTGCCCATTTCTTACCCTTTGGTAACTCTTTTCCATCCAAAATTGTTTTGTGACTGCTTTACTGTATTGCGCTTGATCTGGGATGTGCAGACTGTGAATCCTGTACTGGAAAAGTAGAGATACTGTGAATTGCAGTTTTGTGTTGAGTCTAATTATAACCTGTGCTACCTAGGGTCGGTCATAACTTCAATTTTGTCCGTCAGAATTCAATTCTGTCAGTTGTCGGTCAATCGCAATCCAAAAATTGTCAATACTGCAGAAGCGCTTGATTGGATTTCTAGTATTTCACTGGAAACAGTGAATACTGTATTTCGCCATACCCCAGGGTATGGCTGCCAGAGTCATCAGGGTCGAAATTAGAGTTTGGGCTAGGATTCACGGGTTCTGACTGGATCGCTCTGTTTGTTTGATCATTCTTGTCTGCGCTTGCCACCTTCTTTCATTCTCGCTAATCACTCTAGCTTTCTAGTGGGCTATGGAAATCTAGTGTCTCTTTAGAATAGTGGGTTGTGTCTACTAACTCCAGTGTGGTGCAGGGTTAGTAAAAGGAAATCGTGTGAATGATTTTACTGGACTAATTGTCTGTCTGACACCTGACCCCAGAGATCCGTTCTAACCCAAACTGCTTGTTGCCCACACACCCACCTACCTACTGTGTCTGAGATAGCGACGATTTCAGAGTGTCTGAAGGAAACTGTATATCGCTGCATACTCGATTGCTGTCTATCATTTATTGTTATTTTGAAAGTGGAATATGCGGATCAGGGTGCTCAGCAGCAGCCACAGGTGGAAGTGGTAATGAAGGTAGAAGGGCAGGAACCATCTACCTCCACCCCTGGAACACCTCTGACTGCTACTCAGTGAAAGGAGTTGCAGGAAAGGCTGCAGCAGGAGCAGACTTTGCTGGCAGAATTAGAGAGACAGGAGGCAGCAGAACTAGAGGCTGCATCAGATGCCTCACACAGTGAGTATCTGTTGGAGCAGCTAGGCAAAGCTATCTCAGACGACCGCTGTGCCCAGGTGAATAAGAACTTGGCGGAGTGGGCCATTCTAGAACACAAGGCCACCATTTCTTACTTCACTAACTGGGATGACTGCATCAGCCGCCTGGAGCGCAGGGTGGACGACCTGGTAGCTCAACAGTCCAAGATACTGAATGCCATTCAAAATCTCACTGCTCAGCTGACAGCCGCCAAACTGATTGTCCCCCAGTCTCCTCCTCTCTCAGTGAAACCTTCCTCTTCTTCTCCTTCAACTCCCCCTGATTCACATCCATCTTCCCCTTCACCACCCCCTTCCCAAAAAGCCACAGCCAAGCCCACCTTTGCAGCTGTTGTAGCAGGGGATCAAAGAGGTCCCAAGATCGCTGCCCCCAACAAATTCAGGGGGGATGACACCAAGACTGATGTTGGGGACTAGGCTGCAGGGACCAGAGCCTACTTGAGGGGCTTTGTTTGCAAAGTTCGAGCAGTTAACTTCCACCCCAGGTTTGGTCATGTCTGCAGATGACCTATTAACAAACTTCTGTAGGGAAGCCCCTGAGAAGTTTTATGTTGCATTGTACAGCGCTCGGCACAAGGATTGGAGATCCTTTGGCCGTGCAGCCCTGG